ACCACAATTTGGTTAAGTAACACCATTTCCTCAGCCATTCCAATTTCCCTTACCATGGCATATTAACTATGAGTAATTGCATAAAGAACAAACTTCAATTCACAGACTGAACTACATAAATACCAGTTGTACATCTTAATCAGTGATCACCATGCCTGTCATGTATACACAACAAAAGGATGGACTTCCACCAAAGTTTGGTGTGTATATCAGGACTGATGGCACCATGCACAAGCCAAAAGAGTGTGTTTTTAATTTACACAATTGAAGCTTTCTGGAGAGAACAAGATGAACCTCCCAAGCCAGTTCTAAAGTGGCTTGAGAGCAGAAGGAAGGGGACTGGCTCGGGGGCTTATTGTGCTTGGCGTGGGCTAGGATGAGAGCTCCTGCACTAGGCAAAAAAGGGCTTGCGTGGTTTGAATCCTCCAAAGGAGGCAGAACCTGGGCTTTCTTTTCAGCTTGCCCACTTGTAGGGCATGAGGGTAAGAGGGAGCAGTGAGGCTTAAAAGATGTCAGCACTCACATATCAAAAAATGAAGTCTGATTCTTTATTATAACCTCACTTCTTTCAAAATCTTGGTGCCTGGTCACTATGTGCATTATTCAGTTCCCACACAGAGAGCAAAGTGTACCATTGTGTCACCTCCTTGTCTCCCAGTGCTAAACCCATATGACATTTTATTTTATTATTATTTTTTGATTAGTTGCCTATCTTTTCAAAGGTTGTAATTTTTGTAAGGATCTATTTCTTTTTTATTTTTATCTTCACCCGAGAACATGCTTATTGGGTTTAGGAAGAGGGGAAGGGAGAGAAAAAGAGGGAGGGAAACACCGATCAGTTTCCTCCTGTACACACTCTGACTGGGGACCAAACACGCAATGTAGACATTTGCCCAAACCAGGAATCGAACTCGCGACTTTTCAGTTTGCAGGACAATACCCAATCAACTGAGTCACAATGGCCAGGGCCCCCCATGACATTTTACCAAAATGGATAGTCAAAAGAGGCAACTGGCCAAGAAAGGTGAAGTAAAGTAAAGAAATAAAAAGTGATAATGCTGGAAGTAAAATTGTAATGTACATAAATGGAGTTATAGAAGAAACTACTGACTATGAGACCGGTGACCCTGTTGCCTTTCAAGAGATTTTAGATGTTCAGACAGAGGAGCTCAGTGAAGACCAGTTTATCACACACAGGAGCAAAGTGGTTGTGATGAAAAGGATGAGGGTGGCCCAGAGGGAGTGATGCCAGCAAGAAACTCAACATTCAATGAACTTTTGGAGGTACTTCATAACGCATTGAAGCACAAAGAATAAAATGTTGGAAGCTGATCCAAACTTAGAAAGAAGCATAACACCACTACAGCATAGAAAAGATGTCCACTCCTTATAGTAAATTATGTGACAAGAAAACAAGTACTGCTCAAGCTAGTCTTCATGTTTTCTACAAAGAAAACATAATGCACTTTAATTCTCAATGTTTCTGATGCTTTAAATTAATGTCTTAAATACTAGTTTTACTATTTTCTTCATTTCTTATAACCCAACAGAATGTTTCCAATGTTTTGACAAAAAATTTGAAGGTCCTAGAACAATCATATTTTTCCCATAGATTATGAGGATCATTTTGACTCATTGAGCTTGATCATTTTTATGGTCCCTCAATGCCATGAAGAATGAGGAGTACCTGTACTTATTTTATTTGACCATTATGTAATATTTGACTCTTTTGGTCGTTCCCTTCTACCCTATTTCTCCATGACCCTGTTATCTACAGATTCCTCTCCCTCTTCCTTTGCCTGTCTTGTTAGTATCAGTAATCCCCAGATCCTGTCCTTGACTCTTTGTTTTATACTCTACATCCTCTTCCAATTCCAGCCTTTTGTAAAGTTGCAAATTCACTGTCTTTGGGTGGTGATGGTGCTATTAAGGTGATAGTGAAGAAAAGGGGCCTTTGCAAAATGGTAGGAAGGAATTCAGGGGGGAAATAGTAGGATGGCAGAGTATCACCTTTATTTCACAATCTGGATATAGGACAGAGCCTTAAATTCTTTTACAAGTATTTGCTGAATTGTTCTGTGTATCTGGTACAGTTCTATACGCTGGAACATTAGGTAGTGACAAATAGTTGGTATAAAATCCAGTGCACTAGATTTTAACTGTGCTCTCTGAGGGTGCTACCCAAACCTCTGCCATTTAGCCCAGTGATTATTCTAGTGGAAGAAATTAGAGAACTGATTTAGAGGAAAAATACCTCATGCTGGGCAAGAGGTCTCAACCTCATGGGACATGCCATACCCATCTGCCTATTAGGACAAGCAGTGCTATAAATCAGAATAAACCTAATTAAAAATCTTGAGATTACCTCTGCAGATGTGTCTTGCATAAATCAGTTTCCTTAATTCCTTACCTTTATACAGTCTGTCAGTTATGGTTTACAACAGACTTTGCATAGATTATTCATTGATTTTTTTTCCTTAAAATGCTAAAGGACAAGAGGGGCATTATTCTTTTTTAATAGTCTTTTATTGTATTTTTCTTTGTTTTTTTAAAGTTTTTTATTGTATTTCTCCATTACCATTTATCCCCCTTATACCCCCTCCCACCTTCACCCAGCCCCCCTGCAATTACCATACCGTTGCCTGTGTCCACGAGTTCTTTTGTGCTTGACCCCCCACTCAGAGCTGTCAGCCTGTTCTCTATCTATGAATCTGTCTCTCTTTTGCCTGTTAGTTCAGTTTGTTCATTAGATTTCACATATGAGTGAAATCATATGGTATTTGTCTTTCTCTGACTGGCTTATTTCACTTAGTATAATGTTCTCCAGGTCCATCCATGCTGTCACAAAAGCTAAAGTTTTCTTCTTTTTTATGGCTGAGTAGTATTCCATTGTATAAATGTACCATCATTGTTTTATCCAGTCATCTACTGATAGAAACTTGGGCTGCTTCCAAATCTTAGCTATTGAAAATAATGCTTCAATGAGCATAGGTGCACTTATATTCTTCAAATTAGTGTTTCAGGTTTCCTCAGATAAATTCCCAGGAGTGGAATTGCTGGGTCATAAGGCAGTTTCATTTTTAATTTATTGAGGTAACTCCACACTGCTTTCCACAGTGATCGCACCAATCTACATTCCCACCAACAGTGCATGAGGGTTCCCTTTTCTCTACATCCTTGCCAACACTTGTTGTTTGTTGATTTGCTGATGACAGCCATTCTGACATGTGTGAGGTCATATCTCATTGTGGTTTTAGTCTGCATTTCTCTGATGATTAGTGACATTGAGCATCTTTTCATAGGTCCATTGGCCATCTGTATGTTGTCTTTAGATAAGCGTCTATTCATGTCCTTTTTTAAATTGGATTGTTTGTCTTCCTGGTGTTGAGTTTTATGTTCTTTATAAATTTTGGGTATTAACCCCTTCTCATATGTATTGGCAAACATGTTCTGCTATTCAGTGGGTTGTCTTTTTATTTTGTTGATGGTTTTCTTTGCTGCCAATACTTTTTAGTTTGATGTAGTCCATTCATTTATTTTTCTTTTGTTTTTCCCTTGTCCAAGAAGATGTAACAGAAAAAATATTGCTACAAGCAATGTCTGAGATTTTACTTCCTATGGTTACTTCTAGGAATTTTTTGTAATTTTGAGTCTAACTGTTAATCCTTAAATCCATTTTGAACTTATTCTTGTGTGTGATATAAGAAGGTGGTCTGGTTTCATTTTTTTGTACATATCTGTCCAATTTTCCCAGCACCAACTATTCTCATTCCTGTAGAAAAGTAGAGAAATCCACAGCTCATAATAGTTCCCTGACGGTAAGTGATGGAGCTGTGTTTTAAAAAATGAGATCCAATCTTATTTTAAGTATCTCAAGCACAACTGAAAAGATTCCTATGGTGATTGTTTTTGAAAGCTAAGAATTCTCTCATAAATGTAAACTTCCAAATTACTTTGTGGGCAATGCTCGATTTTTACAAATGAGGTTTGTAGACTAATATCCACGTGTGCTATGCATTACAAAACCCAGTTCTAAATAAAGCTGAAATTTGGTGAGTTATGTGATCATTATCGCCAAATGTGCCAGCTCCTATCATATTTAGAACCCTGTGTTCTGAGGTAGGTGCTCAAGTTTACGCTGAGGAATTTGCTAAACAAATCCCTGGCAAGAAATCAGAACAGTGATTTTCTGTATCCTTAAATCCTTTCAAATAGAAATGGCAAAACATACCCGAGTCCACAATTTCTAAATTTTTGGAGTTTCCTACTACTGTGTGAGTTCTAACTCACTCACTTTCCCAAAGTAGCATCCCATTTATTTATTTTAAAAGTTAAACGAAATAAAAACTTCCTAACTTTGAATGGGACCGCAATCGGGAGTAAGAATAGATGATTTCTTGCGTTTCTTTTGGGAAACGGAAGACACATGATAGGAAAAGATCAAGTCTACCGCCCAATTAGGGGTGCGAGGGGCTTCCTCCAGTGAATGGGGTCTGCGTGAGCGCGGGTCTGGACAGGAGCCCCGAGTTGGCCGGGTGTGACAGTGGATCCTGGACAGTGGATCCTGGGCTTGCGGCCTTGCAAGCGTCCTGGTAACACTGAGCGTTGCAGCAGTGATTTGAGAGACACGTCTTGAGAGGGTAACAGGTTTGGGGGAAGAGATGTCTAATAAACGAGCCTAGTATTTTGGGACTACTTATTGAAAGCAGAGAAAAGAGGAACGAAAAGAAAAAGGGGAGAAGATGGAGGAGAAAGGAAAGATAAAAGAGCCACCAGAAACAAAAGAGAAGGAAGAGAGAGCGGGCAAGCTGGACGCAGTGGAAGCAAAGAAGTGCTACAAGAAATCAAAGTTGGTGAAGAGAGAAGCCAGCCGCAGCAGATGCGGCGCGCAGGGCGGGTGGTCCTCCCGTCGTCAGGGGGCGCGCGTGCGCTCGGCCTCAAATCCGGCGCGGCTACCCCCACCTCTCATCCCGCGCCTGCGCTTCCTGCCCCTCCTTGTCCGGGATGCTCCTGCCGCTGTTGCGGAGTAGCTGCTTCCCTTCCTCCTCTCCCGGCGGCGGCGGTGGCAGCGGCTTGGACGCGGGTGCGGGGAGCCGGCCAGCAGCGCAGCTGCAGCGCGAAGCCTGCGGGCCGCAGGCGCCACTCGAGTGGGCGTACGCCGAGCCCGGGGTCGACCCCTGGCGCGCGGCGGAGGCTGAGAGGGCACCGGAGCCCGGGGCGCGCGTCCGGGGGGCGGGCGGCGGCGGGCAGCGGGCCGAGCGGGAGCCGTATGCGTGTATGGATCCGGGCGCCGCGCTGCAGAGACGGGCAGGGGGCGGCGGCGGCCTGGGCGCGGGCTCCCCGGCGCTGTCGGGTGGCCAGGCCCGCCGGAGGAAGCAGCCCCCCAGGCCAGCCGACTTCAAGCTGCAGGTCATCATCATAGGCTCTCGCGGCGTCGGCAAGACCAGCCTGATGGAACGCTTCACCGACGACACCTTCTGCGAGGCCTGCAAGTCCACCGTGGGTAAGGGCTCCGGGGATGGGCCCTCCCGCTGTCGGCGCTGCCCTCCCCCGGTCCCCAGTGCCCCAGGGCTACTGTCCTTCGCTCTGTCGGCTTCGTTTCTCATCGCGTCTCTGAGCTTTTTCCTTCTCAACTGTGTGGCCCTTGGTGGCCTTGCATTTGGTGGATGGGCCTCTCGGTGATATCTAGAGTGGGGGAAGGACCTCGTGGAAGCCCTCGATACTATTCCCAAAGCCAGAAGGAGAAATTTAGTGTGGTCTCCACACAGACTTGCTCGTGGAGCCTCCTCGCCCGGCGCAAATCCCAGACGCCCCTCGGAAGGCCCCGGTTGGAGCAGGTTATTGAACACAGGAGCCTGAGCGTCCCCTCCCGCACCGCCCCCAGGGCGGTCATGAGGTGGGGTGATGCATTGGTCCCATTCAGCTCTCGGGCACAGTGTGAGCATCTCTCCACGGAAACTCTGGACCCTTATATTACTCACTCAAGGAAAAGGAGGTGCGAGGGCGCAGCAGGCGAGTAGTGTAGTGAAGTTGAAGCTGTGCCCCCGTCCCCTACCTCACCCCCCACCCCCGCTAGGGACCAAAGTGGGTCTTCTATAGCAAATTCGGTGCCTTATCTTTACCTCGCGAGTATTCCGTAAACCAGAGCTTATTTTCTAAACTTGAACTTATTCTTAGGATATGCTGACATAATGAAGTTTACTGCGGAGGATCTATGGAAAATATTAAGACTAAAACTACACTAAATTTCTTGCTTTAATTATAAATACGGGACAGAGGGACTTATGCTGTACTTGTCTATGACCTCATATAACCCAGGGACTCACAAAAGTGGAGATAAGTCATCCACTACACCCAGATGGGTGAAATACAATGAAATACAGGAACAGTCAGGTCAGGAAGTATAATGTCCTCAGGGCCTAAAACTGAAACTACAGGGGAAATTTTTTAATGAAGTCAAAGTACAGGACTTGGCATTGAGGTCTGTCAGGTGGATGTGGGTAACAGCTGACTCTGTGGAAACCCCTGAAAAGCTGTCAACGACGGGTGAACCACAAAGATGAGGGGGTTCTTCAAAATAAAGCGCATTCACCCTTAGTGATGGGCAATGATGGGTTTCCCTAGGGGAGGTTCAGGAAACATTGAATAGTATTTAAATTTGAAATTCACAGTTAAAAGTATTTTGTAGTCTTGTACGTATATTTAGTAATGTATCCAGCAGTAGTTTCAAGGAAGTACAGTTTGGGGGTGAATTGGTTTTAAATTGCCATGTAACAAAAAAATACATTTAAAATGTCTTAATGGAAAATTAACCCCCAGATTTTGTATTGTCTTTTTGTTTTGTTTGAGAGTACTTTTTTCCCCTTAATGCTTATTTTTGAATAGATCATTTTGGAAATACTGGTGTTCTCTGTACCCTGCTTGTCTTTTAAATGTTGACCTTGGGACCATAATATTAAAATTCAGTAGCATAAATATACCTGTTTCAAATACCTAATCTTGGATCATATAAAGTACAGGGAGTTATTAAACCATCAAATGAGAGTTTATACTGTTACTTTCATACCTGACATATATAAAATAGAGTTAAAAGCCATTCAGAATTACCAATCTTTTATGGTTCCACACTTAAAATATATAAAAATGAAGGATAATATAGTTATACTGTGTGATGGAAAGAAATCAGCACAGGCACTAATGAGTAGATAACAGCACTTGGGTGGATGGAAGTGAGATAGGAGCTGAGCAAAGGTATGCAGAGGAGAGGTGAGGAAGAGTTTTCTAAGCAGGGGATGCGATGGAGCAGCATCCCATGTTCTGGGAAAGACTTACTAGGGGATGTCAAGAATGAATGCCTCAAGACCTTCACAGCTGTGCTAAGGAGCATGGACTATATTCTGTAGCAACTAGAGCCATAAAGCCTCTCAGGACAGCTTCGGCATGAAGACAGTGAAACTAATTGGGCAGGATTCCATAGGATATTTGAGACTAAGAAAGTAGGAGTCAAGGAGACCTGGCAGTTTGTTCCTCTGTCCCCTTAACAAACAAACATAAATACGTACGCTTACAAATGCACATCTCTCCCCTACCACTACTACTGCAGAGTTCTTAGTGTGTTGGGATTCTGGTCTTGCTTATTTTTGTTTCCTCCATACATAGTCTGTAGTACTTAACGTCATAAGTTTTTATTAATTGTGGGAAGTTCAGAGAAAGATGGTAGTCTCTGGTCTGATCCAGAGTGTGAAGACACTTTTAGAAAGCTAATTAATCCCCCTCCAAGCTCTCTTTCTGAGTTGCTTTCTCCTTCCACTTACCTGCACTTACTGTGTATTGGGTGCTGTCCTACCCACTGGGGACTCCTCAGTGGTGAAAAGGACGTAGTCTATCCAGATGTGGCCCAGAAGATGATTCAGGTTGATAGGGGAAGCAGTAGAGATGTGTACAGAATATTGGGGGAGCATAGCAGAAGCCCTTCCAGCCAGGGTAGGTTGAAGGCTGGTCAGGGGAGGCTTCCTCACCATTGGAATGCTGTAAAGATAAATTCATTCTTCAAATTCCTTTAGAAAAAATGCTATTTAAATATAGCGTTGGGTGTGGTGTGGAATTGTGGTTGCCTCACCTGAATGCCTGTTGTGGGAGCAATTAGCTCATAGGTCCTTCTGAGGCCAGTCTGTCAAATTTCATCTTCAGGTAGTACAGTCAGCTGCACATAAAGAGTCTCTTCCCTGATAGAACTTTTCCCTCACCCTGTCCAGACTTGCACATGTGTCTGCTCATGACAGCAGAGTCTGGGAAACACCATGCACCCCACAGGCCGTGCGCATGCACAGACGAAGGGGCCTCACTAAGTGATGGCTTGTGTAATTCAGAGGCTAGAAGAGACTACCTCCAAGGTGCCTTTTAAAAATGAATCAGACTCACCTGGACTTTCTATAAAAGAGCATTGTGGTAATCCTAAGGGATTTGTGATAACCTATTTTAAGTGAGCAAAATGTTGATTTTTAAAAAATTATTAATCAAGACAAGTGGATTTGGTTTAAAAGACATACAAAAATCACTAGGGTATGAAAAGCTAAAAAGACTGTTTTTTAATGACTATTTAATGGAAATGTCTAAGTGGAACATTATTTTCAAATAATACTTCATATCTTGTGCTCATGGAATTGAGGTACTTAGTCCGATATAGCTAGCATAATTTGACAAGTTTTTTAAAAAGTACAGGAGCAGCTTTCTGAAGTTTAGGAAATGGAAATAAAACTAGTTGGCTGTAGAAATTCACATCTAACATACTAAAAAAAAAAAAAAAAAACCCATAAAAGTATATAGTAGTCAGCCTTTCTTTTATTTCTATGTAACTACTCGAAGCTACCTGTTAATTTTGTTTGGACTGAAACGGTTTTGTTGGGCAGCACCATGCCCACTCCAGCGGCACTGGATTCTAGAAGATACACTAGAGTAAGTCTAAGAAGCCTGGGTTCTTTATTTAGACTCTGCCACTTACTGGTTATGACTTTAGATAAATAATTTAGTTGTCTTTACATATAAAATACAACATTCTATTAGTAGTAGCTAGAGTTTGTTGAGCATTGACTATGTACCAACAAAAGTACACTCTTTCTGATCCTTGTGACAAGACTGAAAGTTTCCCCCTTTTTTTACAGATGAGAACCCAAAGGCTCAAAGAGGTAAACAGCTTAGCCACCATGGCACAGCTGGTCAGCAGGTGATCAGGGGCAGGGCTACAATGAGTCTCTCTATGTTCCTTAGCTTACTTTGAGGGTCATATTTATTTTGCTTTGTGACATTTCTGGTGCATCAGAATCAGAATTGTGAAGCCGTTTCCTACTTACCTAATTTGGACCTCCCTGCAGCCATGTAAAGATAGTGATGTCATTGAGCTTTGGTATCAGTGAAATTGACTTTCTCTAACTATGCCCCTATCATCACTTGTCACTTGCCTTCTGGGTATTAAAATAATACTCTAAGAATTGGATTTCTTACTTAAATATTCAGTTGTTTACATATCTTAAGCCTTCTACCTATTTATAAAAGTTTTCCAAAATTTGACATTTTAAATAGAGAGAAGGTAGGAATAAGACCAACAAAACCAGAATTCTGGTATTCCTGGACCATAAATTTCCCCCAGAGTGCAGGAGGCCAACATAGGATTGCCAGTTCTTTTATTTTGCCAAGTAAGGACATTTAAAAATAAAAACACTATTACCTTTAAAAAAAAATAGACTTAAAATGAAGTAGACCCTCCCCCAAATTAGGAAAGACAATATTTGAATTAAAAGGCTTTTTCAGTTTAGTTCTGAGACCTTCCCTGCTTTGTCTTTGTTTTTGTCACTTTGTAGCGGTGTGTTCAACTTCACAGGCTGACCCCTGACAGTAACTGGTTTTAGAAAATGATGGCACTTTATGGAAGCCCTGGGTTCGCTCAGTTGCTGGCAGTAGTCCCCGTAGTCTCTGTGAGAACACGTTTCCTGAGCCCAGGGTTGAGTTCAAGGTGCACTCAGGATTCCCATTCCAAGGGTGGGGAAACTTTGCGATGCAGTGAACTGCATTTTACCAGGACCAGCAGCTGAACTGGAAGCAGAATTGAGGGGTCCAAGAAACATGTAAATATGAATTCCTGGCTGAAATGGCTGTGGGTCTGGCCTTGAATGTTAGGTGACATTATAGATGAATTGCAGTTCATGAGTGTCTGGTCAACTTAACCTAGAAGCGGTGGAACTGCTGGTAAGGGACATCAATTACTCATACTTTATTCTGGAAACTTAGATCAGAGATTTTTAGAAGACTCGGTGTGAATTCGACTGGATTCATATTCTAAACTGTGTGTTTTATTTTGTTCTTCTGTATTTATATGTAGTCTTCCAAGCCATCGCTGACCTGCCTAAATGTTTCACTTAAAAGAGAATTAGGGAAAGTCGTCCAGAATTCCCACTGCAAAAGCCCAGCACTGCAGCTGGCCAGTGTTTCACTTCCCTGCCAACGTGA